AAAACACAATGCACAGACTAGGTTTATTGAGAGAGTGACAACAGTTTCGAAACCCTCCTGGATATCATCTTCAAATCTCCTAATGATAATATTAATAACGAACAGGTTACTAGAAGACTAATGGCGATATTATAATAATGGAATCAGATTCAAGCCGGATAGATTTGAAGCAGATTCGCGGCCCGAGCCCACAAAATGGCGATGCCGAAAAGTACGTTTCGGTCCCAAGGTCAGCAGCGCTCGCCTCAGGTGGCGCGCGGAGGGGGTGGGGAGGGGGGTGGGGAGGGGGAAGGGGGTGGGGGAGGGGGAGGGGCGCCAGCGGGATGCTGCCGTCGTCCTGCCCGGCCGAGTCGAGGCAGGTCCAGTCGAGTCAAGAAAAGTGTATTTGAGTCACGAGAAGTCTACTTTAGTTAAGAGTCGTCTACGTGGGTCAATACAAACTCAACTGAATTCAAACAAGCCCAGTCGAGCCAAGAAAAGTCCGCTGAGTCAAGACAAGTACAGGCGAGTCAAGGCAAATCCAGAAGAGCCAAGACAAGTCTACTTGAGTTCAGGCAAGTCCAGACGAGTCAAACCAAGTCAAGATAAGTCCTGACAAGTCAAGGAAAGTCCCGGCGAGTCAAGAGGAGAACAGACGAACCAAGACGAGTCCCGGCGAGTCATGATGTCCATACGAGTCAAGACAAGTCCAGTCGAAGGATAAAAACAATGATAATAGTAATGACACTAGCAATAAAAAATTCAATAACAACATCAAAGATCATGATAATAATAGTGATAATAATAACAATAATAATAATAATGATAATAATAATAATAATGATAATAATGATAAATGATAATAACAATACTGAAAATAATAATCATAACAATAGCAAAAATGATAATGATGGTAATAATAATGATAATAATCATGATGATGATAATGATAATTGCAAAACAAAAATTATAATAATATTACTGATGACAATAGCACTAACAACAGCAATAATAATAGCATGATACTTCTACTACGAATAAAAAAAAACAATAACAAGAATAATAATAGCTAATAATGACAATGAGGCACCATAGCTCAGAGCACTGAGTAACAAGCACAAGGTTCGCGTCTGGTCAGCCCCGTTTGCTCGAATCAGCTGTGACTGAGTGCCGGCATGCTGACATCAGTATGCTAGGGTCAGAGTCGGCGCAGGAGGAACCGGTCCACCCTACCGCGTCATCCCAGGCTTAGTGCGTGCATCTGAGTGTGGGCGGCGCTCTCTCCTGATGAAACCACGCTGCTGTGTACAGGTCATCTCTCCACTCAGCCAAGTTTTCTTTCTCATAATTTCTTGTTCTGGCAACTCAACTCTGTGTTCCTATATTTACTACAGTTTGCACACTGCCATTATCCTGAAAGTTTTACTTGTATACTTCTTTCAAGATTTGTTTTATTACATATCTGGTTAGAAACTCAACAGACATATTCCGTCACCAATATGGCATAGATCTCTCCAACGCACTTTTTATTTTTAGTTATTTTTTTATTTAATTATTTATTTATATTTTTCTTCTTTCTCCAGCTCACAGAGTACCCAACGAACCTTCATAGTCTTCTCGATTGTCAATACATCTGCATTTAATTCTTGTATCACTTTATCGAAAAAAAAATCACTTTTCCTGCTATACGTCTTTTCTTTAACCTTCACCACCTCGTTCTTCAGTTTATACCGCACGTCCTAGTACTCCAGTGTACTTCATATATTGGACTACCTCAATTCTTGTTCCTTATCCTTTTCCTTCCACCATCAGGCCACCTCACTTCCTTCCTCCGTCTGGAAGTCACACCAAGTACATTTCTAGCTGTATCTACTGCTACTACTGTCGCCAAGCAAGTTTTCACTCACCAGATACCTTACCTTACTCCGTCCAAAAGTGCGCTTATCCTCTTAGAAAAAAAAAATAAATAATGACACCATTTTCCACAGGCATTGTGTCCCCCGGCATCACATCGAAGACAGGATCTCTATGATTCAAATAAGTTAGCACGACGGACAACCGTTTTGTTTTTATATCTTGTCGCTTATTAATTGCTAACTAGTCTACAAGGAACGGGACTTGCTTATGTCATGGCTAACAACTGAAATCACTCGACTGGATTGTTCTTGCAGAGTATTTGTACAAAGTAAATGTATCTATTTTCACAAATTCTTCAGATCCTACTACTACAATCCTTATAACTCCTTATGGGAATGTAACCTTGTCAATGCAAGGTCACG